CTCGGCTAAAGCCCTATTACCCCCTTTCGACATCATCTGCGTAAATTTAGTACCGGGACGGTGCTTCTACCGCCGGGGGTTATGATACAAAACAGCCGCTAAACACGGCTGCATGAAAGAGGAGGACGAAGTGGGTTTTTCGTTGGATGCTGGTCTGACGCCATCTTGCTCGTCGGGTTCTGTGCGCTGTAAATAGATTATTAAACAAGTTACTCGTAACATTATCTATTACGGAATAAATTTAGCAGACAACCAATCAATGTGAACATTATGAAGCAAACAATGACCGGTTGTCGAAAATGTGCTGCGAAATGAGCTACGATTAAAATACTTGTATTTGCATCAGAAATCGAATTAAACAGGGAAAGCTGAGTGCATGCTGCATTTTAGAAGTAACCACCATCCCATACAACTGTTGCCAAACAAGCAGTATATAATCGGTATGCGATAAAAGCAATCCTGCTCATTTTCATATTTCGCCACATTATTAGCCTGCCCGTCTACCTAAGAAGAAAAAAAATCACAGAAGATCCACAGAGTACATGACTATAAGTGGAGCGAAGCATCCGTCAGGCCGCTTGCGCTTTTGTCTGTATGTTCATTCTTGCTTCCGTCCGCCCATGCGTCCCTCTGTTCAAACGTCCGTCTGCCCGTCCATCCGTGCATCTCCTTGTCTGTCCATCCAGCCGTCTATCTAGTGAACACTCCAAGTGCCACCATGTCGCATCTTTTCATCATATATTCATCATATAGAAGTACCGCTATCCAGCAGACATTCCAGGGTCTAAACGAGAGGTGGCACAGCCGGACTACAGGAGCGGCACGTGCGCACTTTCTTACGGCCTGCGGTTCGTGTCTAGGTCCCAACTTTCACCGCTGCTAGTTCATGGAACTGTGGCCTAACCCTCGCTGAACCTTGCTAAAACCAAGTACGTTACACGCCCAGCGAGTTTAATGTGGCAACTTTTTGTGGTCAGATAGTGCTTAAAATGCGTTTTTTGGCTTTTATCCTCAATTCAAAAGAGTGTGCGTGTGCCGCTTTTCTAGTCCGGTTGTGAAGGTGGCTACCGAATACTACTGCGATGACTACTACTACATACATCGTGGATACACGACCCACGCCTTAAGGGGGGACACGGATTTTAAAAGCCGAAAAATCAAAAAAAAATTTTTTAAATAGCAGTTTTGGTACTTCCATTCAATATTCTACCATTTCGCCAAGTATTATGCAGTTTGAAACAATATCTTAGCCGTAATATCGATTTTTAGCACCAATGCCAGTTAAATACGAGCCAAGAATTTGGTAAATAAAGGTCTTTTTCCCGGACATGCGACGGCCGTCATACTTCCCTGACAGCCGCAGATCATATATCATTCGAAAGCGCAACCTCTCGCCTTAATTTTAGCGCTGTTTCCGGCTCTGAACATGCGTTGGCTGTGAAGATATCCCGCTTAAAAAAGAAGTCCCAATACGTGCACCAATTGGCCAGTCCCAGCACGTGACCCGCGGCGGGCCATGCCATTGGCTAGACTAGTGTCGTCTGCATCTCTGCGTGGCAACTGTGCGCACACCGTACGCGTCAACGTGTTCGCACGCGAGCAATGATGTCTACGCCGTCGCCAAAGTTTGCTACAAAGTACCAATTTAGAACAAAAAGAAAAAGGAAGACTCCGTAAAACTTCCAGAAACGCGCTGCTGTGCCACCACCAGTTCCTGACCATGCGAAGAACGACGCGCAACTAGAGTCGAGCAGCGCCACCGATGCCGATGTTCTAGGCCTAGTCCCCCCAAAGCGCTCTTCACAACGGCCGCAGCTCTTCGTCGTTGTTTCGGCACGACACTGCAATGCTGCAGCCAGAAGATTTGCGGCGTATAGACAGTGAAGCTCAAGAAAAAATTAAAAGTGCTTGCTTCCACTCTTGGTACTGCCCGAAAATCTGACCTTTTGGATCGTGATGACGCTACTGCACAAGCTAGCAATGATCTCGCTACAAGTTTTTTCATTGCTAGTTACCACTCGATGAATGCGCTGTTGGCGTCTACCAGTGTACGATTTGTGGTGGTAACCTCACGGTGCAAAAAGGTGAGCGGGATTTTGGCCTTGCTGTGAAGTTTGCTGCCGAATGCGCGATCTGCGGCGATGGTGTAGAAGGATGGAGCTCGCCGCGTGTGAGCGGCAAAGCGAAGCTCAGACCCTTTGTCATAAACACCCTTGCAAAGCATGCAATGCAGAGCACCGGAAACGGGCACACCGCAATTAATGACATGTTTGCGGCGATGAACATTTGAGAGAGAATATGCACAATAAAACGTGGCTGGGGCACTTGAAAACAAAGCTCGTCCCCGCGGCAACCAAAGAAGCAGAAAAGTTGATGGGGACATGTGCACAATTAGCACACGATTTGTACTGTGACCTAAAAATAAACAGCCCGGACAACATCGCTAAATCGTACGAAGGCACATGGATGACCTGCGGCCACTCGTCTCATATCAGCGTCAGCACGGTAATTGAGCTGTACACAGGATTTGTGCTCGATTATGTAGTGCTGAGCAATTTCTGTGCTGGGTGCACACGGGCACCAAAAGAAGATGACCCTGCCTACAAGGCTTGCAAGGAGGGACACGCATGCCAGAAGAACACGGACAAAAAAGCTTGGGAGATGGAGGTAGAAGCGGCACTGCTCCTCTTCCAAAGATCGCTGCAGAAGCATAAGCTGCGGTATGCGACCTTGTTGTCGGATGGCGACAGCCGCGCTTGCTTTGCTCTTCAAGATGCAAAAGTGTATGTATACATACCCATGGACAAGGACCACATAAACAAGAGAATGGTCACAGCACTGCCAAATCTAGTTTACAGGCAGAAGTCCTCTGGTATCGAGAGTCTCGGTGGGAAAGGAAAACTGACTGGTAAGCTTATCACCAAGCGCATCAGCTACTATGGCTGGACTTTGAAATCGTACAAAGGTGATGTCCAGGCCGTGATTTATATGTGTGGTTTAACGTGCAAAAACCATCATACGATTATGAGAGACGGCGAAGTGAAGGGCTCCGAAAATTTTGAACACCTGGGGTTCTTTACCGTGCACCCAAATCTGAGCACACGGACCTACAACGTTTCCGCCTCCATCGAAAATGCAGCCACCGCATTTGGGATTCGATCCCACGACCTGCGGGTCAGCAGACGAGTACCTTAGCCACTAGACCACAGCGGCGGGGCATGTCAAGGTCATGGATAAGGCAGTCATGGCCACATACTACCAGATCGCCTCAAACGATGTCACTTCAAACCGCGCTCTCTGTCCAGAGGGCCCAGATTCATAGCGCCACCAAAACGCAGCAAAGGCCAAAGGTGAGCCTGCTCCAAAACACCGCCACAATCTGCCACCCCATGTATGTGAGGCGCTGCTTCCAGTCTATAAGACGTTTGAATAATCACTTCTTCGGCGATGCCTAAGAGGGAAGACCCAAAATAACGACGAGTGTCTCAACTCAATGATTTGGGCACTGGTGCGGAAGGAGAAACATGCATCATTTTTTGCTGTACAAGCTGCTGTGGCAGAGGCTGCAATGAAGTTCAATTCTGGATATGGAAAAGCTTCTACAGCCATACTTCAAGAACTACAGCTAAACCCTGGTTAACAGTTGACCAAGCGCATGAGTGAAAAAGACCGCCACCGTGCGCAATCATGCGCACGCAAGCATGCTTCTGCTGAAAACTTGCAACGTGTGCTAAGAAAACAACACCGAAATGACTCTCAACCAACAGACAATGTTGTTGGAGGCTGCTGATACCATACCATTTGTGAATATTGTAAATAATTCGTGTTGTTCTGTATTATATATGAGTCTGTTTTGTTTTTTGACACAGAATCTCATCTTTGGTGTTTTTAAAACTTGCCAAAGCGATATCTTGGTCTTTAAGGCACATTGAGCCACAATTCTTGCGGTGGCTTGTAGCTGCATATGTCTGCTACGCAAATGTAGGAACAGATTTTTCAATCTAGCATTTGTAAATTTTTGTTCTTGGTACTAGCTGGATCGCATGATAGGGATATCAGGAGATTAAACTTTAATTTCCTATAAAATTGGTAATACATGTTAAATTAAAAAAGTAATCCTACATTTGTGTTCATTACACTTCATAATATATAGCCATATGTCAATATTATTATTCTGGCCAATAATTGCCTTGCCATTGTTCTGATAAACAATATAGGATAAATTTTAATTATCTCCACAATCACCCAACCAATTTCAAAAGTAATTATATTTTTGAAATCAGCTTGAACAACCCTGTCTGGGTTACAATAATCATTGAATTTGGTCAAGAAATGAAAAAACTAGAACCCTCTTCGCCCCTAAAAAAAGAGCCAAATGCACCTATATGCCTAATATGCCAGTTTTTGTTGCATAAATAAGGTCAGAGCCAAAAATGTTGCTCCCTAGTAGCACACTGGGATGATAGTAGACAGATGATTTTCTGTTTCAAAAATTACTGTATGAAGCAACATGAAGCAGCATTTCTCTTCTGGAGCAGTTTGGAGCAATCGGAGCAGCACTTCCATCACTGCTTTTGCAGACAAGGCAATGCATGGCTTGCTGATGCATGCATCTTGTAATACAGAGGTAGCCATTCGATGGATACTCAGCTACCTTAAGTCCAAAGGCAGCTATCACGTGCGGCCAAGAAGCATAGCCTTTGAGGTGGGCAGTTGCAAGCATGATCTCCAGTCACAACCAGTGCAACCACGACTACCAAGTGTAAATATTGTTAACCCATCGTGGACAGTTGATCATGGCATTCAAAGTCGCACTCGATCAGCATATCGAAGTCCAAAATATGTAACGGTGCACCATGGGACACCAAAATCTTCGGTTGCGAGTTTAAATTATGTCAATGGCACGAGAGGTGGTGCCGCGAAAGTGTCCGAATAATTGGTTGGTGACTAAAAAGACTAACATAATGTCACACAAGACAGCTGAAGCTGCAAGCACTAACCTCCTCGGCTTCCGACTCCAAGATCCGCTTTCTCCGAGACGTTTGACAGGGAGACACGGCTTGCATTGCCCACAACCACGTCGTCCAACACCGGCATGAAGTCACTGAGACCTATCGAACAAACAAAAAAGAAGATTAAAAATAGCACAATGCAGTCAGTGTATACAATCGGGGTGAGAGGGCTGAGAATAAATTCAGAGTCGTTTATGGAGCAGCAAAATATTGATTTCGGATCAGAAGAATCTTGCTTGGGAGCAGTTAGTGGCATTTAATATGTCGTCCTGGGAGCTTGAAATACAGATCTTTAGCAATGTGGGGGTGCCAGTGCACATTTTAATTCGTTTATAATATGCATAACACTTAAACAGGTTTTAAAGGCCGTTTTTAAACAGATTATTGCCAGGTAAGAACTGCATTACCTGTTTACATACCACGTGACCTATCTGGCCCTTGTAACAAACATGTAAAATAATATTTATAAAAAAGGTTTTATTAAAAACTAGGTTTCCCGGAAAAATTTGAAAAGAAAAATGCATCACACGCAAAAAGAAATTAAAAAATTTTGATTGCACTAGACTTAGTTACGTAACAGTGGTCCTTCACTTAAAGAAAAGCCTAACATGATAGCGTCAAGAGCTTTTAACAGAGGAAAAAAGCATGCTGCACAGCAGTTCGCGGCCAACTCGTGCAAAACCACCTTCAAGATTGCAGTGCGGGAGCCAAGAAATCTCACGGCACCAACTATCTCCTACAGCATCTGCGTTATGACACTAAGCGATAACCCAATGATACTGATAATGCCTCTCCACACATGTAACCGCGCGTTAATAATACGGCACACTTTGACCAGTTCTTTCTTTTTTTAAAGGCCAAACCCCATAATCGCGAAAATGTTCGCGACAGCGATGAACGACACAACGCAGATTGCCTTTACGCGAACAGTCGCTTGCGTAGGCAAACCTCATTCACGCGACAGCTTCAGTGAGCAAACACCACCGTTGCTTCCATGAGGTCGTCTACTCGTACCAAGAATACCGCGTAATGAGCGGTATGCAATTTAAAAATAAAATATATTGTTGTGTAATGGAACGGAAAGTGTTTACCGTATTTGCTCGCGTAATCCTCGCACTTTTTTTTTGTCGGAAAACCGATGAAAAGTTGGGGGGTGCGAGAATTACGCGGGGAAAACGTTCTACGAAAACGTACAGAGCGAAAAAGAAAACGAAGTGGCCGCAAATCGGGATTCTCACACCAGCAACTAACAGCAAGCTTTAAGAAGTACTAATTAAAACTTACCTCAACAATAAAAGCAGAGGTTCAACACAAGACAAGATTTAATTGAGACGCAAAAAGTGGAAGCAAATAGTCGAGAATTAGAATACCATACGCAAAGCGATTGCCGACGTTGCGGGCGTAGCGGTAGCGTTCGTCGCTCAACAGAAGCCCTCAAAAGGTAAGCGTGGGACGTCAGTATTGGGCTGATGGCTATTTAACAGAATTGTCCGCAGTTTTCATATTGAGAAATAATGTTAACCATCAACCCCAGTTTTAGGCACACGGCAGGCTCAACGCGTCTTCATGGCTTTCAGCAGCCATCACCAGTAGCAAACACGAAACTCGTAGACTCCGAAGGGCCTACCGGCGGCCCTGTTGCCGTTGGTTAGTGCATGATCTATCACTTGCAACTTGAAAGCAGCTGTACAGCTTCAGTATCGCCTCGTAACTTGACAAGGTTATCGACGCAACATACAAAACTTGGCTAAAGTGTTCTAGAAAGGGGTAGTGGGCTGACTGGAGGCCGTGCACTGATGCACTTTATGTCTCACCTGGTAGATGACGCCACCACCACCTGCAATGGAAGCGACGCGTTGCTGCTCTCGGCCAACGCAGCGCGAAGGTTAGTTTGCCAGCGCTTCAAGCACAAACTACTCTTGTGCAACCCCTGTTCATAGCCATTTTCGTTGCTTTTCTTCTTTTGCCTGAGCATATTCTTGCTTTGGCCGTCGTTCTGGCGCATGAAGTATCGCTAAACATGAGCGCGTCATCAGCGGGATGCAATACACGCTGTAAACAGCCAGTTTTGTATTGCGCTCTCGCAGTTTTATTGCCTTTAGATAATTGATTTATGAAACCACTTTCTGCTTATGAAGCACGCCGTAGTTGAGGACTCCGGAAATTTTAACGTGCACTGACATCGATTGCCTTTAGATAAAAGAGACTAATGTTTTCATGATCACTACTAATTTAATAAGTCGCAGAGTGGCATATAAGCGGCTCACATTTCTCCACCAATATGCTAGCGTTTGTACTCAATAGTAACTTTAGTGAAGTCGTACTCTCGCTAAATAAAACAATATTACTACAAACTTAAGCACCTTACGCGCTCTCAGCTGATATATTCTCCTGAAAAGTACAAGAAAATGTGTGGTAGTGCACAGAAGGAAAGACCTATTCTAATCATGCCCAAGAAATAAAAGTGAATTTGTAATGAAGGTGTGAAAAAAAATATAGACAACAATCGTTCACGGGAATAAGTTAGAAGTTTATTTGGTGGGGCAGCACAACGACCGTACTCCACAAAAGCCATGCATATCAATCACTTTCATTTTTTTTTTCTCAAAGTGAAAGCAGATGGAAAAAGCTGAAATAGCTTGTAGAGGGCCTTGCCCCATTATGTACTTATCAGCGTGTGCAACAAAGAGCATGTCTCCTAAAACAGCCCAATAGATGCTAGAAAAATATTCACAACTACAAATAATCAGATGCTAAATATTTTCAATAGCACACTTGGCATAAAAAAGTTCACAAAAACACATGAACACTCAACACATATTGTTCACACAATAAGTAAAGACACTGAATCAGAAGAAATACTGAAAATGACAAATAATAGACACATTTCCATTCAAATAACATGCATTTTTATAGAGATCTACAGATGTTCTCGTAGATCATATTAATCGCACTGTTGATGGTACGCCAAGGACCAAAGTCACCATTCACAATTGAATTAAGCAGAGTTGCCACTTAGTCAAAGGTTTATTGCTATAGTATGCGTGGCGAGCGGCAACATACTATTTTGCTTGTTTTTTAATCTGGCATTCTCTTGTATTTGGGTCAGTGAAACAGAAAAAGAATATTCAGAAAGGATTCATACATCAAGTTTAACCTACACTTGTAAAATCCACACAGGAACACTATTAAATTTTTAAAAATCTTCTAAAGCAAGGAAAAAATATTTAACAGCAGCGGCTTATCTTTAAGTGCTTTGCTTTCTGGCGTTTGCCTGCTCTATCTGTATTTAGTCCCTTAATGTAAAAATGAAGTCGTGTAACAACATAGAATTGTATTATTTTTTGAGAGAGCATTGAGACATGGCTTGGGCACCCAACCTCTTGCCAAAGCCTTGCTTTCACAATGGTCAGCACATCTAAAATGCTGTCTGCATGGAGCTGTTCACAAGAAAAGCAGCCTGTGAACAAGTCTTCAAGCTTCTTTATGAACCAAAATAGGCAAGCACTTGGGTAGAGGAGTCCACCGTTGTCACGAAATAGTGTCAACCTTGCAAGCTGAAAGCTTGCAAGGTTGACGCAAGGCGCGGTAAGTAGTATCAAACAATCTTTACAATTGCTTTTCAAAATGCACTTTCGTGCCACGTAGCCAGCAATGTAAAATATAATTCTCGAGTCGCTCCTCGCAACATGCTGGCTGTGGTCCTGGGAAGGTATAACCAACGCCTGCGCATTCGGAGCAGAGCTCGGTGCCAAATTTGTGCCTGCTGCATTTTGCGATGTGTCTCGTGGGCTACTAACTTCCAAAAGGGAACCTAGCATGCCCTCTTCGCAGTTTCCTTCACTGACACCTTTAACTAAACCATAGAATGACATGCAGTTTACTGTAATCAAAAACTGAGTTGGTGTTGGATGATCATTACTGCCAGAAAATCGCCTGATAGGGTAATACCGAAAAGGTTTTCCAAAGGATCCTGGCTAGTTTTTGCAGTCATTAGGTATTTAAAGCCAACATTTTCAGTGAGATAGTCAAGCAACTCTAGTGTACTCGAAATGGTCACACGTAGGCCAGCAGCAGTGGAATTGCTCAGAAAGCCTCCTCCACCTTTCGTATGCTGCTCCCATGCTTTGAGGTAGGACAGAAAATCCTGCAGCACTGCTGTTCCTGATGAACACAGTCTGAGGGCTTCAGCAGGGAACCGCGATGTCATCACTCTTATGAGCTGGTGGATTTTGCTGAAATATGCAAAACAGCTGTTTTCATAATTTTGTAGTTTACATTGCATGATGCATTCTTCATAGTTATGAACGGCGCAAAACACACGAGACACAAAATGACGAAAAACACAAGGACGTCATTTTGTGTCTCGTGTGTTTTCCGCCGTTCATAACTATGAACCAAAACCAACTCGCCCAAATGTCGGTGCTAATGATGCATTCTATTAAGATGTAATTTTCATTTACAAGTTGGTTATATCAGACATTTCACTACCTAATTTTAACCAGCATATGACAAGAGACGACTCACCTGAAGAACTCTTGTGTTACATCCATCCTTCCAAGTGTTGCTTCCAACTTGTCTTTGTATAGGTGGAAAGCTTGGAGGACTTTTGTCCCAAAAAGCTGGAAGGCATAGCTGACCTTCATCTTCTCAAATCCATTAGGATCCAGGTGACACCGTGTTATGCCCGGCATCACTTTAAGGGTCATGTTGGAGGAGTCTATTTTGTGAGCTTCCCTTACATGTTGCATATCAACCTGCAATGAAATCAGGTGGACCATACTGAAATGCACCTGGTTAAGCTTGGAGATAATGTAAGCATATATGAAATACAATGTGTGATATGCGTAAAAAACATCAGACTTACATGACCTGCAGGGGTGTTGAATCCAGACTTCAGCAGCGAGTTCCGTAGGCATTTGATGAGATGTGGGAAGTCAGATATAAAAAATAGGTGCCGTGATGCATCACTAGGGTGTTCAATTTTCAAAGTAGTAGAGTCAGCTGTCGCTTGGATCCCAAGTACTTTCCACATATTTCTATTCCAACTTGCACCATCGCAAGTAATAAAATCCACAAAGAGCCCACTCTTTTCAGCT